TGCAAGGCTCGGGCTGGATGGAAAAGATCGCTGGGCAAAGATGAGTGGGGTGGGGGGGGGGGGGGCTGGAGGGAGTGGCTGCTGGGAAATGTTTTGAGCTGGTTGTGCTGGTTGCCAAAATTGTTCACTCTGGGTCTGCTATGGTCAATCATATTGAAAACCAGTAAAAGATCAAGAGGAATAATGTGGGTTACAAACCCCGCTCCTTTCCCCAGAATATACCATCTTTCAGATCAACCAAGGATGCTTCTGAGCTGCTTCAAGCATGAAGCTGGAGTGTATTATGATGAAAGGAGCCTATAAAGCAAACAGGTCCAACCCCCACTTACTGCAGGAACCTGCTTCATGACAGGTCAGACTGTGTGTGCACATCTAGCCCAATATTTTCAACTCCGATGTTCTCCTGGATCCCAAATACATTAGAAGTCTTTCCTGTTAGCTGCCACGTGACCCTTATCAGTTGGCCGATGCCAAGGGTCTTCGGCATGGCAGGTATGGACTCCAGCCCCTCCCCTGGGCATTATGCGAAGCATAATCGGTCTCCTACAAAAGGGCCAAATAACTGTGTAGCAATCAGTCGCTCTGTGCCCCTAGTTGTTACCGAGCCAAAGATTATTCTTTCTAGAAAAGTGCCAAAACCAGGTCCTTCAAGGCAGCTAGCCCACCCGCTCCTGGAGGGAACCACAAGAACTCAAAACACCTACAAAGGGCCCAGGATCCAAGTTTCTGCCTAAGTAGGTCCCTACTTGTCACAGACCAGAACTAAGAGAACAAATAAAACAGCAGCGTGGTGTAGCAGCTGGACTGGCAGCCACCGACTATGGAAAGACCGGGGTTCAAATCTCCACTTGAGCCCACCCCACCCTACTCCTCCTTCCCCAATATGAGAGAGGAAGGATGTCTAGGCCATTTATCATTTACTTACCTACTTAACAAGGTTTCTATAAGAATAAAACGGCAGGAAACCAACCAGCGAACCAGTCAAGCCATTCGAACAAGCATGAACTACGAGAGCTGAAATAAGCGCATGCGCACCAAGGTCCTCGAGGTCCCGCCCAAGCGGCATCCACCAGCGAGTGGGTCGAAATAACAAGAAACGGGCGGGCGCACGCGCACTGCTATCGCACAGCCTCGAAGCATCCTATTGCGCATGCGCTTTTAAACCCCCCCCTCACGTCCCCGCCATTTTCTACACAAAAATAAAAGGGCCCCGACCCTACTCTTCTCTCTTGTTAAAGCCCTTAAAATGCCCGTAGCGTCATTTGCCTCACCGTCCCCAATCGCTACAACACCTCCTTCTTTCCAGCGTCCATCTCGGAAATGGGAGAGAATGTCGAATCACTTCCGGGAGGAGAAGGAATAAAGAGACAGCGAAAGCCCGCCCACTTCCTGTTTGTCACAGCGAAGCCCAAAGGAAGTCGAGAGGCCTATGGGCGTTTCTCCATAACGTATGCGTGGGGCGTCCATCTTAGTTAAGGGCAAAGCATGGGTCGTTGGGAGTGCTCAGCGAATCGATAACTTCGGTAGGTAAGGATCAGTACTTTGTCGGCCAGCAGCTATGGTAACGTGCTCGGAAAATATTTTGGATTCCTGGTTTTATTGTCCTACCCGAGTTGGAATGGAAGTAGGGGGCATCTTCAGACAGATGGCTGTTCTCTATAAAGAAGGATTTACCGCTGCCCGGATGTTCAAAATAGACACATTAACTGACAGTTTTAGTATTATGGGGCGTACCCTGAGGCGGGAAGCTTCATTTACTGTTTTACCTCAGGCCTCTCAATGTCGTGGGGCAGCCTTCATTAATGCATCTCGAAGACAATGTGGGTTTCTTTAGATGTGTTTTGTTTAAGGCCACTTGTTTTTGCCGTTGCGGGTTGATTTGACCGCTACATACGGAGGATATAATGGTCTAAAGAGGACGGACCCCTGTATAGGGTGAACCTTGGCCAGAATGCTCCTCCTTCTTGCATTGTTAATAAAGATAAAGAAATCTTGAAGAGACCGTAGAGTAGAATAAGCCAGCCACAGGAAGCGGTAGCCAAGAACTTCGATGGTAAGGCAATAAGAGTTTGTTCTGAGAGAAGCATATGGAGGAGTCCCAAAACTGCCCAGTCAGTGGTCAGCAGTAACCATCTTGCCACAACCCGTTGTAGCAGAATAACTAATGAAGATGCCTAATTTACTGCACACCTTACATGAAGGGCATCACACTAAGCTGAACGTGCCCTGCTGCCTTATGCATCAGCCTACTAAGGTTTGAGTAAATCTGATTTAATGTCTGACTCTTTGCTTACAACAACAGAAGGAATTGGAGGTCATAATATGTGGTTAATGGGCTTATTTAAGCTTGGGTTTCAAAATTTCTAACCTGGGTCCATTCTTCTTAAAGCTTCCCAGGTGCAAATTCACATCAGACCTATTTGCATTTCTCCTGCTGTGTAATTGCACACTAAGCCAAATTCTACAGAAGTCTGATAGAAATAGAAATGACAGCGTAGGATGTGCCACTTCTAACTAAAGCATAGTTATTAAATAAAGCATCATTACATGCATGTTGCACAGAGGAAGCCTTTTAGGTTTGTTCCAAAACAGAAGTGTCTGGTGGTGAAAGAACTGCCGCTAGCTGAAGGATTTTACTGCCCTCTTGAGCAATAAGAGTGAACTGCTTGGGCAACTGGATTTGAGATTAAGTAGGATTTCTGTATCCCAAAATGAAATTCATTGAGCATTGAAGGTGATGCCTTAGTACATGTGCATAATTCAGAATTTAAAATGAATGACTGGAGGCCTGGTAGTCCTCATTATTTAATTAACCTTACAGTGCAAAATTAGAAGATTTTAAACCAACAGATAGTAAAGATATATTGAAAGGAGGTGGAAGTTCTACAATAGACATTATATAGAGACTGCTCCTCTGTCTGAGGAAACTGAAATGCTGACTCACTGGAATTATTGTTAGGTTCCACTTGGGTATCCATAAGATCAAAATAGAGAAGAAAAAGAGATGAGGTTATAAGGGAGCGGGGGGAGAGAAAAGCAATAGTAGGGGTTTGGTGGGGTGTATGGGAAGTGGGGCATTCAAACATTCCTGTAGCTAATTCCTTCTTTCCAAAGCTCAAAACAACATTTGAGGTGGAGAAAGGAGTAAAATAACAGGTGTGCTTCATTTCCTGACACCTTTATTACAGTCACCTAACAATCCGGAACAGCATTTTAGTTTCAACAACTCTTATTAAAAATTTGCTGCTTCCAATTTAAAGTTAACTGAATTAGATTTCAGGGCTCATTAACAGTTAACCTTTCCCTACTAGCTCTACCATCTTTTATCCTATCAGCTGTGATTTGATCACGGTCCTTGTAGGAGGAGAGAAAGTGTCTTGCACCATTAGTCCACATGCTTCTATTCAGTTTGCTGTTATTAAGGAGGAAGAGGTAGAAAAAAGCCGTTTCCTCACATTTACCAAGGAGGAAAGTTCATTCCAAAACCTCTCATTACCTGCAGACTATTACAATCTGGATACAGCAGGAAGCTGAAGGAAGCAGTGGAAATAGTTTTAATTAGTGAAATGCATGCAAGCTTGAACACTTGTCATACACAGCTCAACCCACTGATTACTCCCAAGTAAAGTAGACCTCTTGTTGAGTCAAACATGTCTCATTGATTCAGTGGCTCTGTTCTAGCTGGGGCAAACCACTGGATGTAGCCCAGTGCATAATACATTGGCATTGGATTTAGTAAGCGAAGAATACTTTATTTATTTATTTATTTGGTATCATTCGTAGGCTGCCTTCCTTCCGATGAGGTATCGATATATGTCTTTCCTGAAGTCCATGAAATATGCACAGACATCTTTAGAGCAGTGAAGCCATTCCATTAGTTTAGTAGGAATCCAGCATTTCCACATTCAGATTTTTTATGATTTACAGTATTTTCTTTTGGCCAGAAGATTTTGGGAGCGATCATCCCAAAAGCTCTAATTCTGAGCATAGAAGTGTAGGATTGCATGGCACAGCTGCCATTGCCACGTAATGACCAAGGAAAGCAGAATAGCTAGGAAACATCCTGTTGCATTTTGTGGAGGCACAAAGGTATACTGTTCTGTTTCTGGAAGGACTGGGCCCCTTCCCTTTTAAGTGGTCATGCAGCCATGCTGGACTGAATCATCCACTCATGATGTGTCTGCCAGTGCACGTTTATGGCTGGATAAAAATGTGACTCTCTAACAATCAGAAACTTGCTTGCTAGCCATGAGACAGCAACTCAGAGAAATGTTTTTGTGTTATTCCATTTACAGTATTAAGAACCTTAGTTACTAAAGCATGTAATTTCAGACCTAACCCAGCTCTCAGCTTCAGGCATCAAATGTCTCTGATGTAAGACAATATAAATTACAAAAAGCTAGCATAAAGAAAGCAATCTTTCTCAAAAGAGGGCAGTCTCTCATCTTCTTCACCACAGTGCTTTTTGGCTTTGAATCCTGTCAGCAAGCATGCTTAAGGAATCTAGGTTCTTCTCATTCTGAAAGTATCAAGTCCTTCCAGCAAATGCTCACCCCATTTCCAGTGGAGTAAATAGTGACATGTACAAGTCCAGCTGTCAGCATCAGGGTGCACAGGGTATATTGTTTTGTTTTTTTCCCTTCACCACACTCTTTCAGCAGATAATTCTTTGGAAAACCAGAAAAGCAGAGGGTTCCTTCTGGTGCTGGCTCAGGTTTACAAGGAAATGTAGAGTACTGGGAAAACCCTTTGTAAAAGATCACTATCATCCTCAGTGTAAAGCACATGTCCCCTTGGATCCCCTTTCCACCTCCTGGAAGGGGGCAGCCCAGAGTCTACAAATCTTTCAGAGAGGAGAAGAGGCAAGAGTGCTGTGGCTATTATCCAGGCCAGTGGCACCAAAGAATGTCCCTCAGGAGGCATCTCTCAATCAATCAGAAAATTGACACAGGAAGTCAGACTGGAGCTGGTGCTAGGCTGATACAGGAACATGGCCATCACTGTCCCCACTCCAGTTGGTGACCCAGTCTTTCTTGGTGATGGTGCCTGTTTTCTCCTCACGGAAGAGCTGGCGCTCCTGGCGGGGAATTTTGACAGCATGGTACTGTGGAACTTTGGCTTCTGTGTAGCGGGCACGTTTGAAGAAGCCAAGCTGTAAGAGAAAAGGCAATGATGTTACATTAGTGAAAGTCAGCAAAAGATCTTTGTTAATGCTAGCAGGTAAGATGTTCTGTATCTTGGCGCCAGGCTAGGGTCTACATCAGACCTGGGCAAAGTGCGGCCCAAGGGCCACATACGGCCCATGAGCCGCTCTTGTCCGGCCTGTCGGTCGTTGCTCCAGTCCGGTGTTCAAGCACTTGTTCAAGCCCAAGACAGACTGGATTCCTCTCACTGAACAAGTTGAACATCAAAACCATTTATAGCTTTTTGTCTAAAGTTGATCAGTTGCTTATCTTAGCCGCTCAGAGTAGTATAAGTATACCAGATGGGCAGGATATAACTCAAATAACTAAATACTGCAAAAAAACCTCTTTAGTATTTCTGAAGATTAACAAGTTTAAAATAAAAACAACAACATCACTGTTTCATTTTATTTTTAAGTAAAGCTGTTTCGGCCCCCAAACACAGTTCAGATTTTTCATGTCGGCACCCTATAGAAATTAATTGCTCATCCCTGGTCTACATACACAAACTACAACCATCTGCTGGACCAGAAATTGCTCACTGAACAACCTCAGAGTGACTCCTGCCATTAGGCATAGGGAAGTAACCTTCTGAGGCAGCAGATGCTGTGGGCCGGGAAGATCATCTCCCCAGCCATTTCTCCCAAGCCCCAAGTCAGTCATCCTTTCTGAAGACAAGAGCTGTGTGTGCTATAGTAACTTGCCCTGTATCCCATCAACTAGTTTTCTTGCCCTAGCTATGTTAAGAGAACACTATCAGGTTGGCAGTGTTGAAGTTAGATTCAGCTGCCCATCCACTTGGCTGTAGTATGTAGAATAAAGGACGAGGGAAGTGGTGTCTCCATCTTGTTATTTGCCTCAGACAGCAGAATGCCAGATTGGCTTTGCAAACATACATCTGTAATGGATAGCTTATTACCATGTATTCTGATACTCAAACACAGATATTCATAGTGATTTATTCATTCATCTGAGTACCCTTGATCTCATGTAGTTTTCTTGGGGAAAAAACCTCCTCTTGTGTGCTCTTGCTAGAGTGTATGAGAGTGTCTTAAACCACATGGAAATGATGCATTTCCATCCCAGCCTGATCATTTTTTTGAATACAGCATTCCAGAAGACTTGATGAACTTTTCCACCCAAAATACTTCTGCAGTCATTGTGGAAAGCCAGCCATTTCAACTGCAGTTCTCATGACAGCTCAGACTCTTATACATGGATTGTGGGGTCATAGGCAATTTGATGACTTTAAAATGTTTTGAAGTACAACTCACACGATCCCTGATTTAAGCTGGTTAAAGCACTGGTGAGAGCTGTAATTCAAAACATCTGAAGAATATCAAGTTGTCTACCTTAAATCTTGCCCACGGATGTTATACTCTAGTATAGCACCCCTAGTGCTCTTCATCTTTGTTTGTCATGCATGCACCTGACTCTCAGAACACTTTTCAGTATGTTATACTGCTGGTTTGTAGTTTAAAAGCTCTAGGCTTTGGGTTATTTACCCATGATTGGGTCCTAAAGCCCTCAACTATCTAAGACATAATTTCATGGCCATGCACCATTATGGTCAATCTCTGTGCAAGCCACATGCACATAAGAATGGTGATTATTCTTCTCTGTTAGGCTCTGCAAAGGTTTCATGCACACTTAGGAATCCTGAAAAATGCATGAGTACAGCTACTTGTTTGCACATGCACTAATATTCCTAGTGAATTCACACCAAGGACACACCGTAATTTTCTATGTATGCCCACTTCCCCACCACAGTTGTGTTCTCACTCCTACACACACAAAATCAGTTAGTGGGTCAAACCAGGCATTACCACTAGGCTTCCATGGCCTGCCTGTCAACGTCAGATGGCTGTATGGCCAGCCGGGCTCGGTAATAGTTGGTGGAGTATTTGGATGCCCGGCTGGTCCTCTTGAAGAAGCCAAACTGGGAATAGGGAAAAGTATAAATATTATTAAGAGCCTTGCCAGTGAACAGCTGATAGGGATGGAGTTGAAAGAACTGAATGCCAGGGATTGCTCTCATAAATACCCATCTGTGCCCATGGATACCTCTCAGGCAGCCTCCTGATATTGTTCCTTAGGTTAGACTCCAGTCACCACACAATCCTTTCCAAAATCCTAGCTCATACGTTGCAGTCATTTTGGAGAGATGTGACTCCACCTCCACAATTATGGAGAACAGACTCCAAAGGTTTGGGTTTCTTGTGCAATGGAAATAGTGTCCAAGAAACACATAATTAGAAAGGATGTTATCCCTGGTATTGGGTCTTTGTTCCCAGGGAGTACATTTCAGTGTGGTGAAGCAAGTAGATGCCATCCAGTCAAAGCTTGCCCTAGAGCCAGGGGTGTTTGGGGGGCCATCCTGAAGAGTGTGTGTGTTGTGTGCCATCAAGTCGGAACCAATTTATAACAATCCCAATAGGGCTTTTAAGGTAAGTGAGATATTTAAGGAGTTGTTTTACTAGTTCCATTCCCCCAGCAAGTTTCCATGGCTGAGTAGGGATTTTAACCCTGTTCTCCACAGTCTTAGTCCATCACTCTATCCACTACACCAGACTGGGAATCCACACTAGACCTGAATAGAGCCCCCCCTCCCAAGCCCATCCCAGACACCCAGACATGACTGGACTTTTTCCAGGTCAGTTTGCTCACCTTCCAGAGGATGGAGACAAGCAGGCCCAACACAAGGATCCCAGCTAGTACTGCAATGAGGATGATCCACCAGGGCACCCCTCGTGACATGGCCACAATGGGATCCAAGTAGACAGTCACTGGTATCTGGGGGAGAAAATTGCATAAAGCTTAAACAAAAAGAAGCTGGGCCTGAAATGTACAATTAGGATGACAGTTCCCATCAGACTAACCAAATCAGCTCAGCTAGAAAAGGTAGACTATTAGCTAGCTCTCTCAGGTGGCCTCTTGCTGAACCAGAGGCTGTGAGCAAACTGGAAGTGAAACTTAATTTCAGATCAGCACTAATTTTGGAATCTGCTATTTGTAGGAAAGGAAATACACTTTAGTGCTCTGGCATTTGCACAAAGGATTGTTAAAAAGGCTGGTCTGGTCAATTTCCCTCCCCTTCGTTTACAAACCCCTTTACTTTTGATGAGCACTGTAATCCACTTTCAGAAGCCCCAACCCATCTATTTTACCAAGACAAGGAAAAATTGGTTCACATTACACTTATATAGGATTTCTATAAGAATCCGCTTGCTGAACCACAACAGTCCAAAGAGACTAAAGAATTAGTCCTTGGCTATTTTATAAAGCACACGGAAAAGAGAAGGTGTGCGTGAACTAAGTGCTGTGAGAATTTGGCACCTGTGCGGTGGCATCCTTCAGGATCAGGTTGCGGATGGTAGATTTCACTGTGATACTGGTTCGAACAATCACTTCCACTGATGTTACATCAGAGTATTCCTGACATGGAAAGAAAATAGGCCTCAGAATAAAACAAGAGTGGCCCAGATGGCCTCCAAGAAATGGTAAAGCCTCCCATTCAGACCCTTCAGCATGAGAATTGCAAAACATACTAGATTCCTGGCATCAGTGACTACATATGTGTGTGTGTGTGTGTGTGCGCACACATGGCATCAGTGACTACATATTTGTGTGTGTTGTGTGTGTGCGCTTCACCAAGATGGAAGCAAAAACTAGAACGGAAACCATGGTGACAACCACCCCTCAAGAACACACACAAACCCAGCAGAGGAGCCTTCGATTGTAAAAATAAGAGAGTGTAGGCATGTGGTATGGGTTGCAGTTCAGAAGGAATGATAAAATCATAAAATAAATGGAGTTAGAAGGGCCTATGAGGCTGTCAAGTCCAACCCCCTGCTCAGTGCAGAAATCCAAATCAAAGCAGATCTGACAGATGATTGTCTTAATTTTTCTCTTGAATGCCTCCAGAACTTGAGAAGCCTTGAGAAAAGAAAACTAATTGGAGATATCATCACTCTTTGCGAATAGCTGAAAGATTGTCATACTGGGGAGGAGCAGGGTCTGTTCTCAATCGTCCCAGAGTTTGGGACATGTAGTAGTTCAAGTTATAGGCGGCCAGAATTCAGTTGACTATCAGGGAAAAACTGTAAGAGCAATATGGTAATACAACCGATTAGCTTGGGAAGTGGTGAGTACTCCAATATTGGAGGCATCTGAGAGAAAATTAGACAGCCTTCTGTTGGATGTTCTTTGATTTGGATTCTTGCATTTGATTCTATGATAAGGCTTGGTGCCCTAATAATAATATCTGGCCTCCTCTGTACTTGTTCCAGGTTGTCTGAATCCTTCTTAAAGTGTGGTGTCCGTGTAAGTACAAGGGACGTTTTAATTCTCCGCCTCCCTTGTACTTGTGAATCATTGCTGCAGAGAAGCTCTTGGAAGATATTGTTCAAAATGCATTTGGCCTGCAATACATAAACTTTTTCTATGCATCCGAAGTTTCTTCCACATTTTACTAAAAAAGCCCTTCATGAAACTCTGGTCAAGGACCACAAAGCACTATTGTGCTTAACTCAATTATACCATCTTCCATAAAAATGTATTTATTTACTCCTAGATTGCAAACTGCGATTGTGAAAATTCTTCCTAAGCCCATATTCTTTGTTACCTGGAATTAGTTATGCTAAGATGAATTCCTGCATAAAATTCACTATGGCCTGTGCCACGTAATTCCTCTAGAATCCAGCAGGGGGAGACTAACCTCCAGAAAGGTGCTGTTCCAGAGACGGCCCCATATGGTGAGCACAGCAGAGCGCTCAAAGCTGTAGAGGGGGCACTGGTAGCGCTGGCAATGAGCAGTGCCTTGAACACAGTCCTGGAGCATGAAGTAAAAAGCAACAGAAAATATCAGTGATAGTTTTAAAAAAAAACCCTGCTAGTAGGCAGTCATCCTTTTCTTCATTCTAGCTAGACAGTCCCAGAAAAACCCAACCTAACCCAAATCCCTTCCTACTTCAAGGAAGACTGTTTTGTAGAGGCATTTTAAACAAACAGCTATACAGTGGTGCCTCGCTTGACAACGTTAATCCGTTCCAGCGAAATCGCTGTAGAACAAAATCGTCGTCAAGCGAAAGTAAAATGCCCATTGAAACGAACTGAAAACCGCTCAATGCGTTCCAATGGGTGGCCATTGAAACGCATTGAAAACCGCTCAATGCGTCCCAACGGGCGAAATACCTCAGCGTCCAGCGAAGATCCTCCATAGGGCAGCCATTTTCTGGTGCCTGTAATGCGAGGAATCCATCCTAAGCATAGCGGGGAGCCATTTTACACAGCAGGCGGCTATTTTGAAACCCAACGATCAGCTGTTTTTTGATCGTGGTAAAGCAAAAAATCGGTTCCCGAAGCAGGGAACCAATTATCGTGAAATGAAAAAAACCCATTCAATCATCGTTTTGCGATTGCAAAAAACACACCATTAAGCGATTTCGTCGTTAAACGGGGTAATCAGTTAAGCGATTTCGTCGTTAAACGGGGTAATCGTTGAGCAGGGCACCACTGTAATTAAGCAGCTATCTGTACTGTTCATGGACAACTTGCCACTTTTTTTATAAAGTGTATGCTGCTTATATACTGCCCCATATGCAGCATATATTAAAGCACTCTCTGGGCAGTTTACAATTTAATTATGCAAGCTACACACAGCATCTTGTTTATTGCGTGGCTGCAATTGTGCTATAAACTATAAAGTCATATTTCTACAGGGTCCAATGCTATTTTTCTACCAGAAAGACAACTATGGATTCTAGAGCAAATCAAGTTCAAACTCTTGCTAGAAACAGAAATGACTTAACCTAGTCATTCTGTAGACTTGTCATGTGTGTGTCATTCCATAGACATACACAAGAAAACAAGACTCATGGGAAAGAAATGCTAAGAAAAATGGAAGGCAATAGGGGGAAAAAAAGACTGAACATGACATGGATTGACTCAGTGAAGAAGCAACAATCTTTAATTTGCAAAATCTGAGCACAGCTGTCAATTTTTTTTGAGGTTATTAATATATGGGGTCACCAGAAGCTGGAAATGACCTGATAGCACTTAACGGCAACAATCTCTTTTACCCAAGTTCCATCCCTGGGAACATTAGCATTCATTTAATAGCAACAACAAAAATTAAGTTTCTGATCCTCATGGCTACAAGGAGGCAATGCAAAGGTGAAGGCAATGTCTGCTCCAAGGCTCCAACCTGAAGACAGAGGGTGGTGGATAACTTATATTCTTATTTTGATATTATTTATTTATTTATTTATTTGGGCTAACTTATATTCTTATTTTGATATTATGAACAAACTATGTTATAGACACAAGTAGTATAATAAAATCCTGCTGTTATTTATTAAATAGCAAAGAGAGGGGCTGTAAGTTTTGAGTAGAGGATTAGCAAAACGAAGGGGAGATGTAATACTTCCACTCCTGGCCATTTTGTCATTCAAAACCAGCCAGTCATCACCCCTTGTGATTCTAGATTCATATTTACTCTTCCAGTTGCAATCTGCTGAATCTTTCCATGTCTTAAAAAGTCAGAGCTTTCTTGTATTCACAGGCAGTTTACTCTTCTGTACATTGCTGTTCCATTTACTGGGATGGCAGCAAATGTCACAAAATGCCATGTTGTGTGATAGGTTTCATGTCAAGTGTGGAATACATACAGTGTGTAGCAATGCCACTGAGGAGAGTTTCACTCACCAAGGTCACATTTTTTCGCCTTTCCCTGTAAGTGAGTGACCTGCTAGGTGCCCCTGCCTGCTCAGCCTCTCGCTTCTTCCTAGCTTGATGAGAAGGTTCCTGAAGAGAAGAACAAAGGATGACAGAAACTGCAAAACGGAGACTTTCACTCTTGTCTCACAGGAGCCAACAGATTTGCAAGCAGGTTTTAGGAGTCTATCAAAAACAAAACTCAGCAGCTTACCAAGCATGCACATCAGTGATTCAGATGAACATTTGGCATGTTATTTTGAATGAGGACAGATGTATAACAAAGCAATTACTGTGCTTTAGCCCGGGAGAAATACGCCAGGCGTGTGCTTCCACATGACTAAGATGGATCTTTGGGGCAAGGGTCATGTGAAACAGCAGGAATGTGCTTTGGTGTGGGGATCACTGCACAGTATAGTCCGGTTTGTCCTTCTTCATACAGAATGACATGTAATTTAGTTGTGCCCATGAGGTGCCACAACCATTTTTGAACTGTGATCCAATCTGTGCAAAATTTGCTTATCTGTTTTATGAATGAATGTCCCAAATATTTGCTGTCAGAGAAGGCAAAAGTATTTTTTGCCACAACTGAGACTATTTAAGAAGAACCAGACAGGTAAATAGTACTTTAGGAGCACTTTGCCTGTCACAAGCAGCAGAGAAGATAAAAAATGTGGGGCAATCGGGGCTGTATGAAGACCTGGGATGAGAAAATGAAGCATTGCCCTCCCTAAAGAATGCTTCCTACAGTATTTCCCAGAGCACTTACCAGAGTCAAACCTAGCATGTTGGGTTCTGGAGTACAGGCTGTGCGATGCTGAGGCTGGGTTGATAACTCCATCTCCAGCTTGAGAGGGTAGAGGAGCCACTTTCCATTTGCAAGTTCATGGGGCCACATGAGATTGAGGAAGGCTGAGCCAAGTGTGTTCAGTGATTGGCCCCTGTTGGAGACCTGATGGGAGGCAGGGAGGGAAAAGCTGCATATGATTCAGGACTGAAGGGAGATGAAAATGCAACCTCAGAGTGGCAAATGTAAACCTATCTAAGCCCCAAGAACAAGGGTTAAGAACATGCAGTCTTCCACATGTTGTTAGATGGCCAGTCACATAATCTTTCACGATTGGCCACACTGACTAAGGCAGATAGAAATTATACACAAGAACCATTGGAAAGCTGCAGGTTCCTCACCCGTCCTAGGATCCGTACTGCCAATTGTACTTGGCATTACTCTCCAAACACACAATTGCCATGCATGTGTACACCCTAGCACAAGAACCACTGGAAAGCTGCAGGTTCCTCACCCATCGTAGGATCCATACTACCAATTGTACTTGGCATTACTCTCCAAGCACACAATTGCCATACATGTGTACACCCTGGACTTGTGCAAGGAGGCACTGATCCAATCTGGAGGCCTATCTGAAATGCTCCCTAACATTGTCTCCCCGGCACTGAAGCTGGATCTTGTACATACAGTTCCAAAACAGGCTGATTTTGATTGGAATTTACACAAGAACCATTGGAAAGCTGCAGGTTCCTCACCCGTCCTAGGATCCGTACTGCCAATTGTACTTGGCATTACTCTCCAAACACACAATTGCCATGCATGTGTACACCCTAGACTTGCGCAGGGAGGTCCTGATCCAATCTGGAGGCTTATCTGAAATCCCTAACGTTGTCTCCCCAGCACTGAAGCTGGATTTTGTACAAATTGCTCCAAAACAGGCTGATTTTGATTGGAATTTGGGATTTGTGCAAATCTGACGTGCAGTCCTAATACACCACACACAGACGCACACAATATCAGACTCCTTACTAATCTGCGACAAAAACCTGTATTCACAACTGCTAGAACACCCCCTATTCATCAATAGACAGGTCCTGGAAAGGCAAAAATGCTTGGGAGTAATTCTATATAGAGGATGTTTAGGATGTAAAGAATGTCCTGAGGTCGTTCTGATGAATGTGGAACAGGAAGTTTTCATACCTTTCTTCATGACAGTAGATAAATAAAAAATAAATCAGTGGTATCTAGAATCTAGTGTGTCAGAGGCAGATATGCAGAGTTATAACTCCTTAGTAAAACTTGAGTCCTTGCTGCATGCCACTGGTTTTACCTTTGCCAGCCTCTTCTATCATGTACAGATCCCATTTCTCACAATCAAATGGCCATCAAATCCAGAGGTTCAATTGATACCCCCAGACCTTTTCACTTCTAGCTATAACTCAGGTGGTTGCTCAGGAACAGCTGGTTCTCTCTTTCAGTTGTGTTGGGCTATAGCCCACACTGCCTGGAGTGAGTAGATGATGGAAACTGTTGTCCAAGTACAGTTGGAAGGCATGATCAACCCATGTGGTATGGTGATGCTGATGGTGTAGCACAAGGGTTGAAAGCACTCATTTTGTCACTCACCATCACCTTGTAGCGTACAGGGCTGCCCACATCACTCTCTTTTTTCATGGCACTTTCGCCTCGCACTTCCCCACTGAAAAACAGTTGCTGTGGTTCAGCTACTCTGGAAAGAGAAAAAGACAGAGCACAGCACGGTCTCAGAAGGGAGGAAGACAGAAATCTAACTTCTCTTAATCTACAAATCTGCAAATCACCGCTTTATCATAGGCATAGGCTGCTATAATAAATAATCATGCACTGTCAGATCAATTCTGCCTTTTGATAACGCATTCCAAGATTTTCTAGGTATAGCACTAAGAAGTAGTTTACCCTTCCCTTCTTCTGGGGACATCCTAGGACTGGGCAGCTTGCCCAAGGCCTCACAGGCTGGCTCTTCTTGTGTGAGGCACAGTGAGGAATTGAAATCCTGACCTCTCCCTCCACAGCCAGGTACCCAACTCACTGAGATCTCTAGCCATAGGCTTCATTGACTGACATTAACAAGGGCTATGTATTCTGCTAATCCTCAGTGGCAGTGGGAACCGCAGTCTCTGGTACCAACAATATGGACCACAGATATTTTAATTTGGCTTGTAGTTCCACATTTGTAAGTGGAAAATATATTCTATCCATGAACAAGATTGGTAGAGATACTTAGATGATGTCCATACACAGGCATGAACTCAAGGACACTGTTCAGGATTCTAGCTGCAGAGTAAACATGGTGTGTGGCCAGCAAAAGGATGCCTAAGATTTTGCTTATGGTATAACTTTTCCCACCATGGAGCTGTTTTGTCATGGAATGGAATGGGAGAAATATCATCTCAAAATGCAACCGGATATGTAGGGTAACATCCATCTGCAACTTTAGGCTGATGGGTCTTTTGTCACAATATCAGCGTATTCTTTCTTGAATACACCTTCTATTCCAAATAAGTATTCCAGCAGATGCGAAGTCTTCGTTTTTAAAGTACAAATCTGTTTGTATCTTAACCTGATGTATTATTTGAATAGGAACCCTTCTGACGGGGTCCTTACCCAGTAACGGAGAGAGGAAGCTCCATGACCACACGGGCGCGTGCTACCACTGGGGCCAACTCCGGCTGCTCTGAGGTCCTGTAAAGGAGAAATGGAGGAGTTGGAGATACTTAGCCAGGCCAATGTTTGGCAGCATCCTATGTTGACTGCTGCCGTAAGTGTCCCCCTTCTTTCCCTCTGTGGCCTCCATACAGGGCTGTTCTGATGAATCTGATCTCTGCAATCCCCTGCAAAAGAAGTCTAATTAAAGGATTTTAAAAATGTAAGCAAACTCAAGCTGCTCTGCTCATTGGCTTATACTTCAGGTTTGGGAAGCTGATACGTGGGCTGGGTCCGGCCAATTATGAGCAAAATTATCTTGACTAAATTGCAGAGCTTTTGCTACTAAGTCGAGTTCTTGAGGGGAAGACCAGCACTACTCACGTGCTAAGTTCCAGCCCCACAGCCAGCTCCTCTGTCTCCAGGGTAATGCCAGAGGTACTCAGAACAAGGTAAAACCGAAACTAAGGGAAGAAGCAGATGCAAGTGAGGTGGGATTTTGCAATGACAACTGCAAAGAAGCATAGGAAGCTGCTTGTATGGAGGTGATCAGGGTGTTGGCCTGTACTTCACCTGTGCTCCACGTTTCATGGGGTTCCCAAGCTCACATTCGACATGAGAGGCATTCTGGTTAGAAACACACACTGGGACCTTCTCCTGTGAAAGAGGTAAGATCTCATCAGAAGAATCAGTCGTAGGTTTGTGGAGATTGTATGTTTTATCCCCTAAATAAAACCATCTGTCCTTAAAATTCATATTGAGAAACCTAAACAACGAAAGCGGAACAAATCCTTGCACATTCTGGCTTAGACTATATCGGATATTCATGACAGCCATCCAAGCCCAGCACTTGATATGTCAGAAATATAAAGCAAGGACTACTGCAACTGAAAGATATGGAAACTGTGGGCAAGTGAGCTATAAATAATAGTTCACATAGACATACCATCATAAATGGCCCAGTCCTCTAGCCTTTCTTCAACCCACTGGAAGGGCTGACACCTGCAACAGACACCCAGTCTTACACTGGCCTGAACACACGGTGCAACTATGGAAACTTTTCTATCCACTTCTTTTCTCTCCTCCCATCAGCACCAGAATTGCATCATTGCCTCCCCCTCCCTTTTTCTGTGTTAACCAGCATGATAAAAAGCTTTGGAGAATTTAACAATTACACACTTTTTGTTGGCATTTTGGTTAGTCCTAAAAAATTGCTCATCTGGGGACTATTTTATGGCATGAACCAACATGGATACCTTTGCATTTTAATCTACCAGCTCTCAACTTCATGACCCATACAACTTCTTTAATACCTGCAGCAGAGCCATGCCGAGAGTCCTGATACTAAGATTTCTGAAATAAAGCTCTGCAGCCTCCCAGAGATCTTTCTAGTATCTGCCCTTGGGCTGCCCCCCTTCATTGTTCTCCTCCACTACCTGCCTGTGATCAGTGCATCCAGACCCATGATGCGGTTCTCCTCTAATGCCAGCAGCATAACAATGTTGTCTGCATCATACCCAGCAGAGTCACACAGCAAGCTCCAGCAGAGCCATAGTTGCCAGTCTTAGCATGCCAGCATGGCTATAATCCTTCAAATCACAAATATAAATAGGCCATCCTATCTTTAAATGTCATCCTCTTTCCATGGTCTTAATGGTATGTTTCTGTGATCACACATAGACACACACATACCCCAGTGGATTCACACACGCCCAGCCCCAGACTGGAGCTGCCTCCATTCCCACATAGACACACACACACCCAGCTTTGAGAGCCAGTGGATTCACATACACCCAGCCCCAGACTGGAGCTGCCTCCATTCAATTCACCCCATAGATCCGTTTTTTCCCCTTTTGATTCTCTATCCATCCAAGGGGGACACATCACAGCAGATTCTGAGGCGTACGTACCGTGGCATTGTAAGGGCGTGAGGCAGAATAAGGCAAGGTAGGTGGCAGATGGACAAACAACATGGCCTCATACGCATCCTCGCCATCCTGCTGTGGTTCAGCAACATCTGATGGAAAGTTGGTGATGAAGATCTCGAGAGCTACCACTTTTTGGTCACTCATGGAAAAAATATCCAAGCCATCGTCACCTCTGGTGGAAAGAAACAAGAGATTTTCCTGAAAGTTTTGGCTTGCTTCCCTTGTGGAAAACTAGAAAGGCTTCAGAGAAAGGACAGATCACACTGGCTTCCATCAGCCTAAAAACAAGGAGTTATGGAAACAAAGAAGGGCTGACAGCCAGTGTTGTTACAGAAGTGCTTGTGCCTTTACCAAGAACCCAAAGAAGAGTCCAAGAGCACAGGCAGCAGCTTTGTGGATCCAGGTCAACAAAACAGCTCTAATAGTTTCCTTCTTCACTGGGAACAGGCCAGGATTTTCTTTTTAAGAAAGGAATGGATCTTAGTTTCCCGTTCAAAATCAATCCATCCCAATATACTTTGGATTGCAATGGGGATAGCTTATACCAATACAGTATTATTGGCAAAATCCTCACACAGTTGCTCTGAGGTTTCCGACTAAGCTCAGAAAGAGAAGTAAAGCTTGAAGAGGGAGGGCAGATGATGTCATCATTCCTTCTGATCAAAAACCCCTAGCACTTTGACCCTGCGAGCCCTGTTTCCTTTGTACTTCTGGAGACATTGCAAAAGCAGATGATATGAACTGGACCTGGAGCAGAAGGACTGATCTGATCTGCTGCCTGTTGACCTTTGCAGCTCCTTTCTGGAGAGGAGCAAAAGAATGATGGGATTTCAAAGCCACCCAGTAAGAGAGAGAAAAATGTGTACTTTCCCTCACAGATTGTTCTTGTAAGGTTGCTCTTCTGCAAAATAGTTATTTTGCACAGCACCTATATGGTTGGTTGTTAAAGGAATATTATACAATAACACCAAGGTAGTCATCAGTTGGGGAGGTGTACCCTTCTTGTACCTGGGCAGGGGATGGAAGACTGCATCATCCACACGAGAGCAGAACTTGTAGCCCAGCTGCAGGTTGCTTTGGCAGATTTTGTCCTCCCCACATCCCTGCTTGAGGAAATTCACCTGTAGCAACACAAAGGTAAGGGAACACGACATTTACATGGGGATACCGATCCAACAGCATTGACTGAACCTCAGTTCCCCTTATAGTTCAGCAAGGACTGAGGAAAGGGAGACTTACTGGTCCCCAAGTCAGCTTTGGAGCTGTCCGGCTTGCCTACCTCTGTCCTCTGAGTGTTGGGTGGCAAAGCATTCAGGACAGGCAAGAGTGGGCCCAAAGTGGCCTTGGGCACCTGGCGTCTGCTGCGGGCATGCTGGATATTGTAGCTCACCACCACTGTGATGGGACGCAGCTTGTCACGGATCTGGTCCTGCAAGAAGGGCCATCATGTTGAAAAGAGGGAGTGTCAGTTGACTGTAAGACACATTTTGGAAGACCTTCTCCTGTTGCTACCCAGACCTTTTGCCTTCAGAATAGTAAGGGGAGGGAATTGTAGGAACCTCCAGCAATATTTGAAGCAGGACATGGTGACCATGGCAGGGCTAGCCAGAAATCTTGCAGCAGGAAAACTGAATGGTATATCGTGAGAGCTGATACATAACGATGAATTCCTAATTACAGGTAGTCTGATAGATTCTACTTGTTACATAATTTGTTAACAAAATTAAAAATGCCACATACTTGTCTGTTATCCCCGTAGAGTTTTACACATCAGACAGACGTAGAAAGACTACAGTAAAACAAATTCCTAATGATCACTAAAGGCAGGTCTAAAAGTTAAAAAAACCTTTGTCTTTTCTTTTTTCTTTTTTCTTTTAACTACAGAGGCCTACTTTTTCAAATGAAAGGTGGAAATTCAAGGAGGGAGCCTGGAATATTTCTGAAGGGTCAAGACCCCCCTATTACGACCACTGCTGCCCCCTGCATTCTACAGAGTGACCAACAGCAGGAAACCCTATAGTGTTAGAGCCACAACATCATTCAAAAGAGGAATTGTACACAATACTGCCATCAGAAGTCTCCAACCAGCACACTGACTCCTTAATAACACAATAGAACTGTTATTTTGGAGTGACAGCAAACATGTATCAAATACACAGCGCCTTTAGGATGAGACCATTTGTGCATTTCTTTCTTATTTAAAATCCTGCCCTGCCATTTTCTGCACAAGGCAGGTAACCATCATGAACCCACCATGTCACTTAGCTAGCATTGCTGGCTAAGCTGTGCAGGGATACTGGAATGGGAGATTTGAAGCAATAATAGTGTGGCTTATAAACGGAACCGGGGCTGAGATTATGCTCCTACATATATATGAAGTTCTCCTGTTCCTCGTTTACAGCTTTCCTGCATAGCTGTGCTTGGAAAGCTACTCTGGATGCCTTAAGGAGATCAGCAGTTCCAGCAGCCCACAGGGACCCAGCATGCTCAGTGTGGAGACCCACCTTCAGCTGCAGGGTTGCCATGACGCAAGAAGGGATGCGCTGTCGGGGCAGCTCTACTGTCCCAGAGTATTGGTGTTCCGGGTCTGTGATTCCTTCATTGTGGAAGAAGACTCTTGGACTTTGGCCTAATTCTCGGCGGTCAGTATCCGCATCAAAAGTGTATTCAAGCGCTGGGGGAAGGAGCAGAGGCTGTGAGTTTAGAGGAGGGGAATGGGGGAAAGAGAAGAGGCAGCTCTTTCTGCTGGTGCCAAAATGCAGCCTCTTCTGGGAAGAAGCCAGCTGCTAAAAAGGAGTTCCCTCACCCAGCATGGAGGCAGACGGAGCCAGCCCAAGATACTTTGCTGCCTGAGGCAAATGACAAGATAGCACCTCCCTCTCCCATTCCTCATACAGAAGCAAACTAGTCTGGCAGTGGAAAACTGTTCACCCACCTGAAGCAGCTAGTTTGGGGGTCTGGAGGATGACTTACGTAGGACACACAACTGGGTCATCCAACCAAGGGAGGTGGCCAGCAGACTTAAGAAGAATGTTTCAGTAGCTGCCATGGCTGTCCCCTGAAGAGGCTGTCTCCCTCTTCCTAAAAGCAGGGCTGGCTTGGCCCTTCAGATACAACTGCAATGTTCAGAATGGCCAAAAAAGCCACTACAGTATTTTGGGCAACCTGGGTCTATCCCTTACGTTAGGATGCCAAGGGCATCCAAGGCAGGGCAGAAGCTCAGCACCCAAAGGATATCTAGTAGTATTAAACAGCCTTGGGGAGGTCCAGCAGATACTCACTGATGTGTGGGCTGTAGCTCAGGGGGTTGGCTGTGTAGCTGAAGCAGGCGTTTACATCCATACTATGGAAGACAACAGAGCAGAGGAGACTCAGTCAGCAACGGAAAGTTAGTCACCTCCCTTTCCCTTTTGTTGGGTGCAGTGGGGTGGCTTCCTTGGCCCTTTTTGTCCTGATGAGGAGATGGCTCCTTCTTTCTGAACTATCAGTGAATTAGGATAGGCATGGAAAGTGGTGTTTCCCTGGACCAGAAAAAAAGAGGCCCAAAGCAAGCAAGGGATCATCTCCCAAAGCAGACAACAGATGAACTAAAGCAGTGGTCCGCAACCTTGGGCCTCCGGATGTTCTTGGACTTCAACTCCCAGAAGCCTTCACCACCACCTGTGCTGGTCAGGATTTCTGGGTGTTGAAGTCCAAGAACATCTGGAGGCCCAAGGTTGGGGACTACTGAACTAAAGGATCATTAGATGTGTTCCTACGTAAAAGGCTCTACATACGCTGCAGAGTTGTTGTGTTCTGTCTTTAAAGAGGAACAAGGATCATTAGATGTGTTCCTAAAAGGCTCTACATACGCTGCACAGTTGTTGTGTTCTGTCTTTAAAGAGGAACAATGAGGTGTCCAAAACAAGTCACTCAGCTCTGCCCTGGTGACTGCAACAAGCTCACCCATGGAGCGACACAGATGCTAGTCATGTCCACAACATGGTGCTGAATCCAGACTGTATCAGATGCATATAAGCAATAAGCAGGAGCTATGCATGCAGGTGAACAGCGGATGGTGAAAATAACCCACTGGTCCTGGTTCCTTGCCTCCACAATTACAACTAGAGATGGGGACAAATAAAAAAAAAGGTGATCCACTTTGATTCATAATTCATCAATGTTAATGGATCAATGGATACGAATATACAAATATTCTTTGACAAATTGGTCTGAGTCATCTTTGCTTTAAACGGCTATAAAACCAGCCCCAAAGCACATAGAGACAGCAAATTTGCAGGAAAGCTTCCTCAGACGTGTTTCTATAACTCCTGAAAGTTTGGTGAGAATTTAATAATGGACCCCTGAGTTATATAGTCACAAAGAGGACACCCCAGGAAAGCTCCCCCCAGGTAATTTTGTGGATCTGGAATCACAACAGAGCTTCCTATGTCTTTCCCCAACATGCCTGCCAACTTTGGTGAAGATTGGATATCGGACATCTGAGTTATTCACTCACAGATTGGGCCACCCCAGGAGAGTTAAGCAGACGGCACAGAAGCCCATGAAATTGAGGGAGTTGTTTTTGGCCCCAGCAGAATAAGAGGTCCCTTTGTCACTGAGAGGCATGCACGAGGCATTGAGTTTGTCTTCAACAACATTACAAAAAACGACAACGCACCATTCTACCTACTGGCCGCCAATCAGCTGATCGGAGGCTCATAGGCAGCCACCTCCCCACACAGCCAGCCACCCCAACAGTCTACCCACCCCCCTTCCTTTCCCTACCTTAGCCCCCCCACCCCACTCCCACCAACACCCCCTTACCTTAATTGCTCCTACCAAAAGGGAAAGGAAGGGGCTGTGGGGTAGGCTGTTGAGGTGGCTGGCTGTGGGAGAAGGTGGCTGCCTATCCACCGCCGATCAGCTGATTGGCGGCGGGCAAGCAGAATGGTTTATAAATTTTGTTTTTTAATACGAAGGACGAATAAAAACAGGTAAATATCCGTCCCTTCGTATTCGTGGGGGTCTCTGGAACCCACGGATAGAAGGGACAAATATTTAATGAATCGGCTATATTCGTCGAAAAAGCCAATATGTTTCTATGTTCGTCCCCATCTCTAATTACAACCCATTAAACATTTTGCAGAACATTTCCAAGACAGAAGGTGCCTGTTTAAATCATCCCAGATGAGATCCTTTCCTATCTGTCTGACCTGATTTCTTTCTAGTCCTGAGAATAAAATGCAGGGCTCTGGGCTTTCCTGCTCTTCTTCTTTCAACCTGCTAGACCCAATGCCAGCTCTGAGCTGCAGAATAGGTGGTCCATTTCCTCTTGTAATCCCATGCACGTAGATCAGTCGATAAAGATGTGAATGTATCCCTGAAACCCATCTGCATATCAGCTAAGAAACAGATTAGGAAGGATGCAAGAAACAAAGAGATACAGAGAAGAAAGAAGGGGGAAAAGTTTTCCTCTTACCATATGCCCTCAAAATAGCGGCAATTAAATTTCTCCAGGTCAATATTCTGGGGTGAGATGGTGACATTCCTGGAGATGTGGATGACAGGTCGGGATCTAAAACAGATATTGGATACTCATAACAGACTCGGCCAGTTGTAGACAGCCAGACCTGATGTTTAGGGAAAGGCACAGGCAGCTGGTTGGGCCACCTGTGGGAATGCAGTTTTCTTAAGAGATGTCTTGATTCCTGAATGTTCAAGAATCCCAGGCTTAAAATCTAAGAAAAATAGCTAGCAAGTGTAATAGAAGGCCTACGCGATATTCCTGGTCTCCCTTTTTCTAGTTTTTCATAAAAGCAAGGCCTCTGTTCCTCCACTGCTTTGCTTTGAGCAGTTTTCAATATCCAGGACATAAATGAAGTACAGTATTATAAATGTATACCATAATAGTAGAAAGACCCATACACCAGACACTTTTCTATGTCTATATGCAGTTTTATTTGCACAATGGTTTGAGAATTGGCCCATAATACGTAGCCTGGCCTAGGACTCTGGATTTGTTCTAAGTTGGCAATGGCCCAGGCTGGCTTCCATTCTTTGGTATCCGTTGACATCCTGTGTAAAACTCCCTCGTGGTAGCCGACACCCTTCAGGTATCCATAGCCACCTGTAGGCATCCCACAGAAGTGCCACAGCTCTAGCTTTAAGCAATGGACTGGTTTGGTGGCAGGGCCTACCGGTGTACCAGGTGACCCAGCCACCATCCATGGCTAGCTGGGCCAGCTTGCTAGCTTGAACCAGCTGTTGTAATCTGACCCTGTCTCCTGCCCGATATGATTGTGTCTATCCCTTGCTCTAACCCAGGGGTTTTAAACTCAATTTACCTGGGGGCCGCTAGAGGCAGAGTCTGGGTGAGGCTGGGCCACATCAGATTTTCCGCCAAGCGGAGCAAGAGCCCGAGGAAGCCGCCCAGGAGTTTCCTTAGCCGACAGACAGGTGGGCTGGCTGGCAGGTGGCAGTTCTGGATGGAGGGTGCAAGAGGCGCTGTCTTGGGAGAGAGCCGGCGAGCGAGGCAAGGCTTTTTTTAACTCTTGACAGCAGAGAATGTGTGGGCGCATGGGGGGGCAGGCAAGGCGAGGGCCACAAACTATCATCTGGGGGGCCGCAAATGGCCCCCGGGCCGCATGTTTGAGACCCCTGTCTAACCCCACCCAGGGCACCTCCTTTGACATTGCAAATGTGGCACCCTCCAGAGGAGCTGGACTAGTACCCAGATTATCTACAGTCAGGACAGGAGGAAGCATCACGCCTGCACATTGGCTGGCTAAAAGCACCTGGAAAGGGAAAGCTGTGGTTTAAAACAAAAAGAAGGCTTGGAAATAGAATCAGAAAGGAATTTATGGGTTACCTTCTAGGCTATGATGTCTGGGGGATGCATCATAATTAGGATACATTTTACACAGACTCTTTCTTTTTATGCTTACCTGTACAGTGCTACTGTGTTGGAGAGGGATCCCACCAGGAGATCTGGATAGAAATTGCCATCAATATCCATCCCCCCAGAAAAAGAATAGCCAAACATCTTGATGCCAACACTCTCCCCGGTCAGGATCTGCCATGAAGAAGGGTATAGAACAAACACACTGTAATGATCAGCATGACGGGATGTGATTGTGGGGTAAAAGGAGCCAAAAAAGGAAGCAAGACAACAAGGCACATCAAATTTCAAAGCTTTGCATCCACCTCCAGCAGCGAGTGTGGAGTCACAAACTGACCTGGGCAGGTTTGATGACCAGTCCCAAATTGCTACCATGATAGATGTAGACCTTGCCATCACCATCTAATGGAGCTCCGACTGCAAAGTCTGGGAAGAAAGGAAGAGCCCAAGGATAAGCGGGAAGGGCACATCCCTAGCAATTCTTCCTGTGGTCCATGTCCCTGGGCACCACAGATTCACAGACATGGCCTAGTGCTGTTACATAATCCTGTTCAAGCAGCCACAGAGCCTTGAGAAGCACTATGATCATATGTTACTGAATTCCGTTTGAGGTTAGGGGTGGAAATGGGCTGTGCCCACGTCAAATACACAAGCTAGTCTTTCACACACAGCTAGTATACTTTCAATCTCAGTATAGTACAGTATATACATATACCAAACAAAGGATCATAGCCACAAAGGTAACAAAGATTCATGCACAACCAACCTTGACATCACACAAACTAGGACAAAACAAGACACATACCCTCCTGAGATCACCACACTCTTTTACATCTTTTTCTCTCTCATTCATACCCACACTTCCTCCCACAAAGTCACCAGTAGTATTCACCAATTCTGCTTGGTTACTACAGATTTTTATACATGCACTTGGAGGTTCCTCGCACTAATATAAAGAGTATTTTGCACAGACCATGAATCTGCAGCAACCCCTTTCCCATAGGAGCAGGCTCTCACAGTTCTCTCACCTTGGAAGCCATCTTGGTTGAGGTCGCCAAGGGCACCCACTGTAATACCAAACATAGAGTCATAGGAACCGTTGAGCCGTATGGGAAGGACATTTTCCCAGTGTCCTGCCTGGTTGATGTAAACGTAGACTGCACCTCCAATTCCTTCTTTACGATCAAATAGGTTTGGTGCCCCAACCACTAAGTCCATCCAGCTGAAAACAACAGAATGTCAGTACAATTGCCATGGTAATACCTATTTGCCAGCAGTCATATAACATTCGCTATGTACAACACAGAGTAATTGAATCAAAACAGTCATTCATGCTTTAGTTACATCACATCATAACTACAGCAATGTATTCTAAATCGGGGTACCCTTGAAGAGGGTCTGGGATCTTCAATGGGTGCAATACAAGAGAGCTTGATTACTAATTGGTGCATGGTATGTTTACTTTTAGATTGTTTTTTTCTTTCAGCCCCACTGCATTCTGATGGGGCTTCCTGTGTGGTGTTGTGTGTGGGGTTTTTTTCAGCCCCATCACATTCCAATGGGGCTTGCTGTGTGGTGGAGTTTTTAAAATTACTATTATTATTTTCGGCCGGAATGGATTAATGGGGTTCAGTGTACTCCTATGAAAAATGGTGCTTCGACTTACAACCATTTCGAGTTACATCCATTTTCTGGAACAGATTATAGTCATAAGTTGAGGCACCACTGTAATACTTATTATCAGCACATTTCCTAGAACCGTGTCATGATACTTCTTTGGTGCAAGATGTAGTGATGCCTGCCAAGTTCAATGTCTTTGAAAGAAGACTGGACAAATAAAAGGAGGAAGCTATTAATAATGGCTACTTATCTTACAACAAAAGATAGCAACTGCCCCAAGGTGGTAACCTAATACCTCTGGTCTTATCTGAAACTTTATTTAATCTCAGTATAATGTTGACTCTTGTAATGTGGGTTACACAGTCATGGAAGCAAGTAAGATTGCAACTGTTGTCCCACCCATGTCCTAGTATAACCTCCCAATGGAACCTTATGGCTCCTCAGTGCAGCACTGTTTTGAACTCACAATGTGTCCAGCTCTGCAGCCTGACTCTCTTCCTCTGTCTCTCTGCTGTTTACTCACCCATCATGGTTGAGATCCACAACAGCCAAGGAATAGCCAAAAGACGAGGTGAGTTTCTCCCCTGGCAAGATAAACTCAGGCACCAGGCGGTTGATGTTGTCCCGTTGCAGAATGACCACTGCCCCTGTATGGTTGGCACGGGGTGCGCCTGTGACGAAGCTCAGCTCATCTTTCCTCATGATCCCCACTCCGGAGTCCAGAGAAAAGCCTGGAACAAGAGGAAAGCAGGTGTGTTATCGGGGTCGGGGGGTTGAGGTTTATCAGGGCAGCATTTGTATTTAAAACCTGGAGTCTCAAAATTCCAAGATGAGCCTAAAAATTATGGTTCAATCCCTGGGTTCTGAATTTGATTCACACATGCACACACGAAAAGACACACTTGGAAGCGTCACAGAACTACAGAGACTATTTTACTCCTAGATGCTTTCGGGGGGAGGGGTTTCTTTTCGTAAAAAATGAAAGCGGATGTTTTAGATACTTCTGTTTCACAGTAGTTCCTAAGAGGGAAGCCATTTACAATCACAACACATGACTAAATGAACACATTTTCACAATTCATCAATAACCTGATTAGTTGTCTTCTCCTCCCCCACACCCTTGCACTCCACCTGGCCTTTTCTTTATCCTAGGCAGGTCTGGATGACCACAGTCAAGAGCTCAGCTCCCTCCGCTGCTTGGAGCTAGAATTATATGTAGATATGCAGTGTGGTGGCAGAATGAATGAGCAGGTAACTTACGATATAAGCCGGTGGTTCCCAACCTTGGGTCATCCAGGTGTTAATTGGACTACAGTTCTGTGATTGGGTTCATTTGAATGTGGTGGCAGTTCCTCAGTTTTGGCGGGAAATAACAACTGAGACTTGTCTGTAACGTTCATAACTTTTATTAACTTTTGCCTTTTCCACAACTATTTCAATGGGATAAAAGCATGATAAATCAGACAAAGGTCCATAACTAGATGAGGTTAACTCCCTCTGGAAATCGGGGTAGCTCACGGGTGCTGGGCCATAACGTTTGCGATCCGTTGGACTCTGAAAAGGAGCACTCCTCACCGCGCAAATAGTGCCGCAGCACAGGTGTCGTGCCCAATCTCCTTCTGTCAGTGGCCTCTTGTAGGAGTGGTCCTGCCTGATCACCTTCTTGCCTCAACCTTGTCCCCGCGGGAGAACGATCACCGTCCATTATTCCTGAGTTTCATATACAATCTATCCTTCTTCCTTTGGCTCTGGATCTGGGAGCAGTCCCCCAACTTTTAGGTTAGGGAAGTCCTTGAAGAGTCTGCGTGTCTTTTCGTAATTCACATCAGCATCTAATCTTTCTATCCCCTCCTCCTTCCTTGTCCCCTCCTCAAACCTTCTAACTAATCTCCTTTACCCCTGATCTTTTATACTCTCCTCCCATATTGACATCTTTAGCTCCTCCCTCTTTCTTTCCTTCCTTCCCTTCCTCCACCAGGCAAACTTCTATCTTTCCCTTCATTTCATCCTTTAAAATGTCTTTCACCTCTGCTATTTCATTCTCACTACTTCCCTTTTCCTCTTTAGATGCTTCTATTAGTGAGGATGGCTCACTTTCCTCCTGCTTTCCTTCACAAGTTCTCAGAAGCCTTTACCACCCACTGTGCTGACCAAAGTTTCTGGGATTAGCTGTCCTAGATCACTCGTGTGACCCAACTTTGGGAGCCCCTGATATAAGTATCCCTAGACAGAAACAGAGAAAATGTGGGCCTTGCTACTGTTCCCTCCAGCAATTGTGTGCACCTTTGTGGTGCCATCTCCAGAGATGGGAAATGTTGCCTTTTGGGAGGACAGACTCCAGAATCTCTCAGTCATTATGGCCACTGCCATGTTGCCTGAGATATCAGGGAAATTACAGACACTCCCCATTCACAAATCAACATTTCCTATCACTACTCATCTCAGGCTTTGGACCTGACATGCTACAAAGGTTAGCTGTTACTTGGCTAAATTTTATCCAACAATTGGGTTACCTGATAGATATTGTGAGGAAGGGTTTTGTTAGGCCATTCTGTGTCACCGCTGGCTGGGTGGAAATTGCAATTCAATATCCTGGCAATGAGCTGCTAGGTACTGGACAAAGGCATTTTTCCCCTGAGCAGCAACAACTTCTGGTAGGGGCAGTGAATCACTCACGCACCAGTTGCTGCCCATCAGTCTGGGTTCCTATGACCAAGCAGCTGCTTGGTTTAAAAGCTGGACTTCAGCTGTTCCACAAAGAACAACAGAAAGTCACTGCACATTTCAAACCATGCAGACAGGGAACTGTGGAAAGGATTTCCTTTGGAACAGGGGACCCTCTCGCCTAGCTACAGAGTGCTTCCTCCCATACCGCAGAAGAACAGGGCAAGCACTGAAATATTCCTCCTCATGTCTGCAAGGCAAAGGATCTCTCTGCTGGCAAGCTCCGGCAAGGCTCTGCTGTATCGCTCGCTTGCCCTTTTGCTCTCTTCCCACTGTACTGGAAGACAAAGAACTGGGAGAAAGTCCAGAACTTGGGGGATGGACACTGGCCAGGAATGTAAATGCTACTCCTTATATAGAAATTATGCAACCTTCCCATGGATCTAGCAAGGAGAGAGGCTGGGAGACTGGTGGTCTCTGTTCTGAAATCTGAAGAGAAGGGGGCTTTTAGAAAATAGGATGGGCAGTTCGTCCAGTCTGTGTGGCTGAGCTGGAAGTCAAGAGCGTTTTGTAAGAATCTTCAGCTCTTCTCTTTTGCTCAGCCATTGTCTTTGTTGGGGTCCTTAGATTCCAATTTCTTAGCTTGGTTGGGCCTCCGGGAATTGTTGGACTACAGTACCCACCCTCCCCCACCACTGACTCTGCTGGCTTGGGCTGATGGGTGCTGTAGTCCATCGAGACCTAGGAGGCAGCAGCTGCCAATTCCTGTCTTAAACCGAAGACAGAAGTTTTAAAAAGGTCCAAAATAATAAATGAGACAGGCTAGGACAAGAGCCACAACAGGGCCAGGTTCTCTGCTCTCAAAGATCTCCAATGAAGGGGAGTCCCTCACCCTCTGAGACAGCTGATTCCATTATAGAGTGGTTCTCACTGTTAGGAAGTTATCTCTGATGTTCAGCTGAACTCCTATTTCCTGTAACTTGAATCAATTACTTCTATCCTCTTAAGCTTCAAAAAAGAAGCCCGATCTTCCACAAGACAGCTATCATGCCAAGTCCTCTCAACCTTTCCTCATAGGACTTTGTTTCCAAACCTCTTAAATATTCTGACTGCTCTTCTCTGGGCATGTTCAAGCTTCTTGATAGCTCTCTTAAGCTCTGGTGCCCCGAACTGGACATTGTGCTCTAGCAGGGGACTGAACAAAGTAGAATAGAGTAGTACTGCTACTTCCCTTGAACTGGACACTATGCTTCTCTTGATATACCAGAATATATAATTTGCCTTGTTTGCTGCTGCATCACACAATTGGCTCATGTTTAGCTTGTGATCCGCGAAGATCTCTATATCCTTTTCATTGTTTCCAAGCCAGCTTTCACCCATCCTAAATTTCTACCTCTGATTTTTCTTGACATCTCCCCCCCCCACTGCAACTCATTTTGTTTTTATTGGCCATGTTCTCTAATCTTTTAAGGTCCTTTTGAATTCGATGCGTTTGCAGCCTCTCCTCTCTTATGAGCATGTCACCCTCCAGATGTTTTTGGACTGAAATGCCCAACAGACTTAAGTGAGGGGTGAGAGCTACACCTAGAAGGTCACATGTTCCCCATTTATGCAGCTTGGGGATGCGTGGGACAATTGTCGGTGTCCACATCTGCCTTCTCAATGCTGGCTTTTGCAGAGGCAGCTGCTCACTATAACTGACTGTATTTTCTCCCATGAAAGCCTCCAATTGGTTTTAAGTACATGCACACAATGTTTTGACTGGGGTGTGAGTATTACTGCATGTGTGTAAAGCTGCTATTTATAAACTGGACAATTTGCCTTTATCTCTCCCCCTGCCGCATGATTTGTTTTTTTTTTGTAGAACATCATGCATTATCTTGGACTGCAGCATGCATTCTCAAGAATCTCAGCTTTCATTTCTTAAACAGCAAAGATATCACACACAGCCAAATGTCAGCATTTTTAACTTATGTGGAATTCAGTGGTAAATAAAGGCTGTGTAGGTACTTATTTCTCAGTAACAACTTTCAAATTGCTTAGCTGACTAAATTGTGCTTCAGGATTTGAGCTCTCAGGGTTGTATGGAAGTCTTTGACATTAATATCTGTGCCCAAACTTGAAACTAGACTTTCTGAGCATCTCCCCTTTGCCCACTGGCATGCTTCTGCTCCCACTCATCTGGATGAATCAGCTCATACTCACACTAAACCTCCAATACTGAGTTCAAACTAAAGCGTACACGAACTTTGTTTTTTGAAGGAGAATAAGGTGAAGTAAATATAAATAAATGTTTTAATTTCTTCTGAAAAACACTCTCTTCATCATTCCTGGTGCACGGTATGCAACATGACCTTTGAACCACATAGAGAAAAACAGTTTGGCTCTTCCTCCTGTCAATTTCTGATTGATTTAAACACAGCTTTTTAAAAAGCACACATGTCTAACTTTCATATTTGCAGTATTTGTGATGTCCCCATTTCTGATGCTAATGCTTCCTAAACATGGAGAGGTCGGTCATTGCTAAACACACTTTTATTTTTTTGTTTGTTTTGTTTTTGGTTTTTATTTTCATTTGTAGGCTGCTTTTCTCCCAAGGCAACTTACAAGTTACTAAAAACAAGCCAACTAAATTTATAGAACAACTTCTGACAGATCTTCTTCCCTAAGCTACTTAAAACAGCTTATTTATGTAATGTCTGCTACTATAGCAAAACACTGTTGGACTCCCTTCCTAATATTTATGTCCTAATATTACTGTAGCAGCTGCAGAAGCTGTAAAAGGAGCCCTCTGACGTTTGAAAGCGTCAGAACCTTTGATTCCATCTATCTCTTAGGAAACGCCAGAGAGGAGGGAGTGACAAAACACAACAGAAAGGGGGAAACGACAGAAACTAGCTACGAAAGTACTAAGGGAAAGAAGCAGGGAGAGGGAGAGAAATCACTGAGACGGGCACACCAACACCTTACAAACCTAAGTAGCTATTCTGGGCCACATCTCCAACATTCCCGGGAACCCGTTCGCTGGGCTCTGGCGTTTTATAGACCAGCTGGTCAGGGTCTGAGCTATCAATGTTTGTCACAAACAATATCCCTGCATGGCCGATGGAAGGAAAGAGAGAGAGAGAGAAAGAGGGTTAGCAGTATGAGAAATCTTGAGGCCCAGCAGGAAAGCACCACAGAGCAACTGTGCAAGAAGAGTCTAGAAGACTACAAAGGGCCTGGGTCACCATCGAACACCTACAGGTGTCTGCTATCACAACTTATTTATGACCCCTTGTGAGCACAATGTTTTCTTTCTTAGGGTCAAGAAAATTATGGCCAGGGGCAGAGGCAGAAGGGGCAAGCATTATTTATTTTTATCAATCTGCTTACAATTTATTTTTGCCTGTTCTTCAAGAATATTTTCTAGAGGGGCTTTGATTTTTTTTTGAACTTTGGGGTCCCCTTCATGCACACTCTGCCCTATGGTGTCCTGCCGGTTGCTCTGTCGTGCTCGCCTGCTGCTGGGCACAGCCGCCCCATACCAAGATAGCTGTTGGCAGGCAAGGGGATGAGCGAGGGGTCTTGGTCCTTTTCTCCCCCGGCTTCATAGGGCCCGTCGTCGTACTGACTCAAATCCAAGCCACTCAGTTCTGCCCGTAGGGTCCCTGCCAAACCAAACACCACCCGTTAGAGACTGATGGGAGAGGGAAGTTTGGAAGAGATGGAGGGGGGAGATCTCCATCCCCCTAGCATTAGGTGAGAGAACAATGCGTTTCGGTGAAGAGGAGCTTCAATTTATCCACCCACTGAGACTGAAGGGGCTGTTAATTGGCCCACCAGGACTATAGGAGCACTCAGAATGGGGACGCCCAGTAAGGCAGAGCAGTGGTTCCCAACCTTGCATCCCCAGATGTTCTTGGACTACAACTCCCAGAAATCCTGGCCAGTATAGTTAGTGGTGAAGGCTTCTGGGAGTTCTACACCAAGAACATCTGGGGACCCAAGGTTGGGAACCACTGGGGCAGACAGTCTCCTTCCTTGGCCTTCCAGATGTTTTCAACCAACTCCCCAAAGCCCCAGCCAGCATGGCCAGTGGTAAAGAATTATGGGAGCCGTAGTCAAAGCATCTGGGGAGCCGCAGGTCTCATACACACCTTTCTCGATGAAGGTATTCCAATTGGCAAAGAAATGGACTGAATAGTGGGCTTGCCCATCAGGGTTTCCCTGTAACACACACAGTGGCCTTGGGTTCCAACAGGCCCACAAGGCTCCCCTACCAGAGAGCTGAAGTTCAAAATTGCCATGTACTGCACTTGTTTTTGCCAACTGGCTGTGCTCATCAGGAAGGCTGACCAGCAGAGCAGCTAAAATGACATGAGCAAACCCACTGCCTCTTCCATCTGGCCAAGAAGAGCCAGTCAACTGCTGGTACTGGTTGTATGGACAAGGGTGGTAGCCGAATGGCAGAGCACACATGTTTCTCATACACAGGTCCCAGGTTTGATCCCCACCATCTTCAGGCAGGGTGATGATGACACTTTTGGGGCCCTGGAGAACTGCTGCCAATCAATTCTAAACAATACTCAGATGGCAAACCAATGGTCTGATTCAATGGCCGAAATCTTCTCTCCTAGTTACACTGCTGCTATAACACAAATGGAGTAACTTTTGGAGGCAAATTGTCCCAAGTTAAGAAATCACTGTAGAGATCACCAGTTGCACACTGGGTTGTATAACTTGGCATCCAACTGGTAATGTCTACATTGATTTCTTAATTTGGGGGCATTTGCTTCTAAACATTACACCATTTGCATAGCTATGTGCAAGAAGATTTTTGCTAGTACAAAGCAGCTTCTTGCATTTCTGTAACTGACAAGGAGGGCACATTCCCAAAGATGAGGACAGGTTGCTATGATGGGAAAAACAACACCTATGGCCACACTCAGTTGTCTACCTGTAGGGGAGCTGCTAGACCTTCACCACCCTACTGGAGGCTTCTGCATCTTCCAAGTAAGGATACATCGTAGCTGGGCTGCAAGGTTTCTGGGCTTTCTTATTTCATACCCTTTATGCCAAATTTGCGTTTCTCTGTTTACCTTTCCAGTTGTAGGTGCCAGGAGCTCCAAAAAGGATATAATGCCTATCTGCCGTGAATCCAGTTGCCATCCCCTGCTGGCAAACACTAAAGCGGTCGTGCCCCTGTGCCCGCCCCTCGCAGAATTTCCACTCTCCGCCGTCCAGTTCATCAGACACTTGAAGCCCCTCGCTGAGGACATAGCAGCGGCCAATCACATCCCTTGTCTCCAGAGATTCGTTTACCCGGTTCCGCGCTTCGTACAAGTGGGCGCAGGTCTGGGAAACATGGGAAGGGACAAGAGAGGATAGAGCGGGTTAAAAGATATACTGCTTTATGGCATTCCTGCATGAAACTAAAAGATAAAGTAGGGTGGGTTATAAGTATCGAGGTAGTCAGACCAGCCAGCCAGATAGAGTGGGTTAAAAGATATACTGCTTTATGGCGTTCCTGCATGAAACTAAAACATAAAGTAGGGTGGGTTACAAAGAGTCTCCAATGCCTCCCATACAGCTGCTACCCGAGACGGGGGGGGCAATATGTCACTGGATGAGGCTATGGTTTGCAAGATTGCGGCCAGAATATGAGACCTCTTACATATTTAAGAGATGCCCAGAGCTTGCAGAAAGCAGATAAATGTGAATATTCCAGGGTTAAAAACCTAACAATAGCTTTGATCATGTTAAAAAGCGGGGTGGGGACACTAAAATAAACAATCAGTAAACGCTTCCTCTTCCCAAACTTGTTCAGAAGGCCCAAAGCTTAGCTAACCCATCACTGTCACTCTCTGTGGTGAATTACATCCACACTGTAGTTTGGGGAAATTATCCTAATCCAAAAGGGCCTTTGGAAGACTATGGTTCTATTGGTGGGGCTGAATGCCAGGACTCTCACATTTACACAAGACTAATCAACCCTGAGTGCTCACTGGACGGACAGATCCTGAAGCCGAGGCTCCAGTCCTTTGGTCATCTCATGAGAAGAGAAATCTCCCTGGAAAAGACGCTGATGTTGGGAAAGTGTGAGGGCAAGAGGAGAAGGGGACAACAGAGGACGAGATGGTTGGACAGTGTCATCAAAGCGACCAACATGAATTTGACCAAACTCTGGGAAGCAGTGGAAGACAGGACGGCCTGGGGTGCTCTGGTCCATGGGGTCACAAAGAGTCGGACATGGCTTAACAACTAAACAACAACAATTAGTCCAGAGGTATATCTATTGTAGGGATGTTATCTGCTCAGGTTTTGGGGACCTCAGTACAAATGATTATGTTTAACACATTTGGCTAAGCCCCAGCTTCAAACCATAAAGTTCCCCGTTCCAGCCCCATATGCTCTGAAAGTATGCATGTATTCTCCCCTGTTAAAAACACCTCACGGTGCCAGATGAGCACTCCTTTTCGTTAGAAGAGTGCATGACTCTGCTCCAGACTCATCTCCCTGGGTAAATGTTGTCAACAGCAGAACTTTCTCTATCTGGTGTGTAGAGGTTAAGTTAGGGAGTGCAGCTGCGCTTCATGACAGTCCCCATAGCCACACGTCCGCATAAGGAGAATCTAAAATTGCAGGTAGCTGGATCAGTCCACATCAACAACTGAGGAGTGAGTGTTTTCTAAAGCTAATGGTTTTTCATTGCCCATTCAAGACCAAACCATCTTTAAGTACTTTGCATTATAACACAGATGACATTATTTTTCTCCCATCTACTTTGCAGTTAAGCTCAGAAGGAACAGGGAAGCCGGAGGGAGGGTTTAAACAATGTCACAGGCCCTGCTACTCAGAAATCCCCAGGGCTTCAACCCTGTGACCCCTGGCTCCAATACATCTCTGCTTTCTCTTCCACCATTCCTCCTCAGAGTGCATCAGTTAAACTACAGAGAGAGATGAAGTGAGAGAGGGAGAGGGAGGGAGGGAGGGAGATATGGCTTCCTCTCTAGAAAGGAAAATAGATGCCTAGGGCACGGGCGGACAACTTTTAGCATGCCAGATGTTCTGGATTACTACTCCCAGAATCGCCAGCCTGTATTGCCAATGATACTGTGGGAGTTGTAGTCCAGAACACCTGGAGCGCCAAAGGTTTGCCAACCCTGCCCTGTATCCCCATATTACATTATTAAACATGGGTTTTTTTTTAAATACAGAAAAATTAGAGCAGAATAATCTCTAACTGCACCACCAATGTAGGTCAAGAAATCTGTCAATTTCCCCCCCCACTCACCCCATATACCACAATAATTCACTCTTTTCCCTCCACCCCACCTCACCTCACCCCCATTGCAGAAGCCAGAGCAAGAAGTCCTCTAGGCATAATTTTTTTTTTTTGTAACCAAGAACAGAGGGATCCTATCAGACTTTGCAATTTGGATCTAAAGGGGTTAAACAGAATGACCACCCACCCATCCAGCCACGGCCACTGACCACGATCTTGCCGCCGGGGCCCTGGCTCTTGACGGTGACGCCCAGCCACTGATTCTCCTTGCTCTCCTTCTTCAGGTCAACTGTGGAATGTGGATGAAATGAAGAGACTCGGTCAATCTCAATTCAGGGAGAAGATTCTACTCTGGTCTTCCATTGCTCTTTTCCCAATACAGTGTGAGAGAGGATGCCTCAGCCTATCCTGTGTATGTCAGGGAGACATGACCTCAGGGGCCAAGCTACACATGACCTATGAGATTCATCAACGGACCTCCTGTTATCTCCTTCTTTAGTTAAAGGGAAGCAAATGCGTGAGGTCCAGTTTGGACCAAGTGGAAGAAATGGAGAACAGCCTTTCACGTTTGCCATCCAAACACTTCCCTAACTTGCATCCAGTGACAGCTGGTGCCCACAGACAGCGGTGGGTGGGGCAGAAGGCACAGTGGCCAATGAAGAGCAGGAGGTCAGGGATGGCAAGCAGAGCCAGGGACAAAAACTGGTGTTTGTACACAGACACCTATCCCCAGGAAAGCAAGCAAACATTCATATTTACAAGAGGCAAGAATAGGCTGCCTGTGGGTAGCATAAACCTGAGATGTCTCATTTGCTCTTTCAGACTGATGCCATAGCAAATTAGCTATGAGGCAAAGAAAAGGAAACATATAGGTTCAATGCAAGTATCTTCTCTTTCCTTAGCTAATAGCTCACCTAGGGGATATGTGGATAGGGGCACAGGAAAATGAGTTAAACCCCCAAGCACAGCATTGCTGCTTCAATCCCACCCCTTCTTCTTTTAGGTCAAGAAAAAGTTGTTTCAGAGATCCATTTATTCTTTTTATGTGCAGCTTGACCCTGAAGAACAGAATACTGAGGGAACCTCTTTGTAGCAATGCAATGAAACACCAGAAAGGGAATTCTGTCCTGATGCACAGCATCCACTGGGATGCTCCTCATTGTCCTATAACATCTCAAGTCACAAGTCAACTAAGGCAGGGTCATTTCAAGTGCATTGTTTTGTGCTCATTATACCATTTGATTATGCTTTGTAATGGCACTGTTCACTTTGTGCATCCGTACATCATCCATAGGTCTGCTATTCCCAACCACAAAGAAGTCAAAGTGCTGCCACTGATGGACCCCACCTTTATAGCCTGGTCGGATACAGTTTAGGCTCATGGCATGCTCACCCCAGATCCCATATTGACTCTAGCTTAACCCTGATCTAAATCAGATCGTGGAATGGCGCTGCATCGAAGCTTCAGGAGGGCTTCATTTTCACCCAGACATAGCTAGGATGCCCCCTTACCTCCTTCGTCAATAGGCACACGCTTGCAGTCATTGGTCTCATGAGTCATAGGGCAGGCGTACAAGCCGCCAGTCCTCCTGGCCTGTTGATTTGGCAAAGCAGCAGCCTGTGGGGCTCCCACCAACAACCTGCAAGAAAAGAAGCAGAGTATTGTTAAGGGATTCGGGGAGAATTGCTCAGGAGGAATGGGAGGAAGCTGGGCTTGTCCTGTTTAGCTGGATCGGGCGAAATGGAAGCACTACGAGGTCCGGTGTGCCATTTGATGAAATCCTTGCACCTTATTTGGCTCACTGTCAATTTTGCCACTATTGTGCAGTGGCTGAAGAAGATAGCCATTTCAGAGTATTGGCACATTAAACTCTTCTTCGCCTCCGCGGAGGGGTTGAGGATGTGGAAAAAAAACATTTAGGGTATTAGGGCAGCTGCATGATTTTTAAACCATAAACGCTAACTGGGGAACTTCCTCCTGTAAATGGAAAAAGTCAGGAAGAGGCAACAAGGGGGATTTCTGTTTGCTCTTCTCTTCCAGTTGAGAGCCACCCGGCCCTCTCTTATTTCCACGGCATTATGAAGCTACTAAAGGGGTTCAAAAACACTCTGGAACCAGGTTTCACACCTCCCTGCTTCCTCTGCCCTCTAAGCTGTGCCTCAGTGACTCATCCCCCCTCCCTTCCCTCCCTGCCACTATGAAATGGATGCGTCAAAGGGGGAAACAAAATCAACATCCACCACAGCCTGGTTTGCAGCAAGAGCGAAAGGGTGGTGAGCCGTAGGAGCCCTTTCCAGATTTCCATCCCAGTGTAAGCAGATGCATTACTGTTCCAAAGTAATGCCCCTCCAACCACAGAGCTAATACTCATCATCACCTGTTCCTGGATCTCCACCCCAGCTGTCATTCTCCTCCCCCCCCCTTCCTTCCCCCTGGCACCCACCCCAGCTTCTGGTATTCTTAGTCAAGGACAGGGAGTGACTTGGAGCGGCCCCACGAACAATTTAGCACCAGCTTTATTCAGCAGCTTTTGCCTTGTGGCCCAATGTTTCAAAGGGAGGAGCTGGAATCAAGACCATAACACTCACTCCTAGGTTGAGTCATATTATGCTTAAACTCTTATTTACCACTAAGCCATTCTCTCCCCACCCCACCACATTTCCGCAGTCCTAGAGAATATTATAATTGCTTGACAAGGACTAGCTGCCCTATCCTAACAGAGCATAAAAAAGTTACTTTTCTATACAACAACTCCCAGAATTCCCAAGTCATCATGGCCAGGTACTCTGCAAATCACTGTCCAAAAAGACAACTTTTCCAAGTTCTACACTGGTAACATCCCATAACCATGGTGCCATGTAACCACCATAATCAGGATGCTTAAATGATGGAAGTAGGGATTTTCTCCTTGCCTTCCATGCATACTTATGAAGACATTGTGGAATCTAATCCTATCCTTTCTCAACGGTACTCCCTTCAAGTGTATTAGACTATGATCCCTCACCATCACCGCTCCTGGACAGCATGGCTCTAGCAAGGCATCATCTCTGGAGGGCAGCAAGTTTGGGAACACTGGTCTAAATGGTGCTGAGTGGACATGAACATGGCACCAGTGAGCACATGCTGCTAATAAAGATGGGTTGTGTTGACATGATCTTGTGCATGCACATGTACATGGAACATCAGCAGAGAAACCTGAAATATTTCACATTATATATTTATAGAAGTTACACCACATATTTGCAATTATACTGAGGCATAGATAAATAAAAATACAGTAGTAGATGGCAAGGCTCTTGGATCTTCCATGAAAAAAAATACCACAGAAAAAAAGAACTTTTTTCATGCCCTAATAAGCAAGGGATGGATCAGCATCGTGTACCTCCAAAAAGATACATACAGAAGGGTCCCATACAGTCTTTTTTGTGATGGTCACACAAGACAGCTGGTCTGTAAAGGAAGTTTTGTAACCCATGTTCCAATGTCCAAATGCTACAAGGCTTATGCTGAAGTTGGAGCAGGCAGACTTTCTTTTATTCCTCCTGCCCTAATGCTGACATTTGAAGTAGCAGTCTTCAAGGCAGGAGCCAATTTCATACCTCCTCCACACCCTGTTCTAGTTATTTTGGGGGGTATTGAAAACCCAGCTGTTGTAGATGTAAAATCTTATGGGAAGTGAAGCTTTTATAGCCCTCTTTTTTCCCCATCCCACCCCCCACAGATAGCACCCTCCTTCTCCTCCTCCTCCTTAGCTTCGCCAACATCCAGCTCATCATGGCTTAGGCACAGAGATTTTCCCATAAAGATGGCCAAACAAGTGGGTTGCATCAGTGTGTGTGGTGGTGGGATTGGCTTTTGCAAATGGTTTCCCCTCCCACTCTGTGCAAAGGAATCAAGTGGAGCATGCCTCTTCGAAATTATTGTGCTTGCCAAGAAAAGGATCCACAGACTGAAGAAGGAAGACAAATGCTGAAATGCTTTCAAGTGGCCAAAGGAAGATGGGTGGCCATAATCAATTATTTTCCTTCTCTTCTTCATTCCTGAATCGATGCATCCACCTACACACCAAGGACAGTATAATAATTAAGCATGATGACCAGCTGTGTTCCGAACAGAGGAGCCCAACCCAGTGCATGCTGTAGCCAAGTTTTTTAGCTAGCAGGCACAAGAAAAACTGGAGGCAGAGCCCATCCCAGACAATCAGTTCAGACACATATGACCCATCTCCTCAGAGTTGATTTCTAGATCAGCTACCATTATATCTTGCCTTTCCTCTAAACTAGTGGTCCCCAACCTTGGACCTCCAGATGTTCTTGGACTACAACTCCCAGAAGCCTTCACCATCACGTCTGCTGGCCAGGATTTCTGGGAGTTGAAGTCCAAGAATATCTGAAGGCCCAAGGTCGGGGACCACTGCTAAAAACAATGCTGCATATGCTGCTTTCCTCCTTTTACCCCCAAAACAACCCTGTGAGGTAGACTGGCCTAAAAGTAACTGGTTCAAAATCAAATATCCCAGCGGGTTCCATAGCTCAGTGGGGATTGAACTCAGGTCTTCCAAGTTCTTGTTTGTTTTTTGTTTGTTTGTTCATTCATTTGAGTAACAGAGCTACTACTCTGGGCAGCAAACAAATCACAATAATGTAAAGTACACAACAACCCCAATTTAAAAAAACAACAACCATATAAACAGCAAGCAGGGAGCCTAATGTCTAAAAATAAAATAACTAAAAAAGAATAGAGACTATAAAATAGTTATAAATACTGAATACAATTATATTAGGCAGCAAAAACAGGGCAAGTTCATAAGTAAAACAAAAAGAAAGCCTAATCATTCAGGGTGACTTAACACTTTAACCACCACAGAAGACTATATTTTATGATTATATATATATTTTTATGATTGTATTTTATGATTATATATATATATTTATAGATCTATTTTATGTTGTACGCCGCCCCGGGTAGACAGGGTCTAGAGGGGCGGGGTATAAATTTAATAAATAAATAAATAAATAAATATACAGGTGACTTGATAGCAGCAACAAAGCAGTCAATGGCTCATGATTTGCTTCCTTCAAAATGTGGATCTTGACTATTGCATGCATTGAAACTGAATCTATACAGAGAAGAAAAAGACAAGAGAGCAAGGAGTCATAAGAGACATCTCTCTTCCTGAGATGCCACCAGAAGTCAAGACTTCATCTCTACTGTTACTCAGCCACACTACTCTTGCTCATCCCAAGGTGGGAGAGCCCCAGGAGGAGTCAGATGCGGGGAAGTCTATGGATGTTGACTGGAACCAAATTGTATTCCCAACACCCCATTCTTCCCATCTCAGCTGTACTCCAGGGAATCTAAAACAAAAAAGAAACCCCAAGGCCAACCGCTTAGAGCTAGCTCACCAATGTTGTGAGGTAGCTGCCACCATCCCACACAAACATTAAAAATTCCAGTAGCTGGTCAAGGAAAGGACTGGTTTTAGATCACAAACCCTCTCAATCAAAAATCGTAGTTTATAAAAGAGAAAGCAAGCATTAAAAATGAGCCTCGTGGCACAGTGGTTAAACTGCTCTACTGGAGCCAAAACTGTGCTCACGACCTGGGGTTCATATCCCAGGTAGCCGGCTCAAGGTTGACTCAGCCTTCCATCCTTCCGAGGTCAGTAAAATGAGTACCCAGCTTGCTGGGGGGGTGGGCAATGTGTAGCCTGCATAATTAACTTGTAAACCGCCCAGAGAGTGCTTGTAGCGTTATAGGGCGGTATATAAGTCCAAAAAAATAAAAATAAAAAGGGCAAAAGTTCCAAATACTGTAGTTACAAAAAAGGCTTTTCAAAATGCAAGAGCAACTGCAGAGATAGACTTAAAGGCATTCAAGAGGATCACACCAGAAAATAATAACAGCTAATGTTCACATCTTAGCAGGGAGATAGCGTAGTTCTGAGACATGCACAGAGGACGGCAAATGGATCCAGTCTTCTCCTTAGAGGAAGCCTAAGCTTCTTTCAGGCATCAAGGCTGACGTAAGTTGGAATCTACTTGACAGCACACAATGGTCATTATTAAATTAGGCTGAGAGATGATGACTGACCCAGCTGAGTTTTCTGGTGGAAAGCGGATTTGAATGTAGGTCCCTCTGTTTTGATTTTAACAACACCCCTCACTGGCTGCTATGACAAGCATGTGTTTCTGCATCCTGTGTTTTGGAAGTTCAGTCTGATCTTACCACCAGCACCCCACAACCCTCAGCGTAGATGAGTTGACCATTGGACATGCTGTATTTTGCTGTCTGAGATGGAGTAGCAAGTGACACCCCTTTACTCAATAGTTCCTAAGGCCAGCCAAGCTATTTTGATTCCCAAAATAGAAAGTCCCATAAGCACATTGCCCCATTTCCCTTTCAGTAAAAACACAATAATAAACTATCAACTACTGTCTTTTCATGATTCAACTGCTTGAGGCTGCTACCTCACCTTGCTTTATAATAGTAAGATTGGCTCTCAACTACCTTACATCTTTAAACAAGTTTTGATGTACCATTGTTCAAAACTTTCCTTCATATACTGTACATTAACACCATCACAGGTCAGGTCATATACATACAGAAATCTCTACGATTAAAGGAGTTTGATGGAAG